AAGCGATGAGGGAAACACTGGGCTGCAAGGGATTGAAGATAAAATGTTTACAGAGAAAGAACAGAAAATAAGTTTAAAAAACTCTTCAAAGAATATTTTTGTTGAAGAAAAACAACTTTAACTCAGATTAAATAATATTAAGATATAGTCCCCCTTGAACTAATTGATAACAATAATATTTAAAAAAATACATTGACTAATTCACGTCTTTTACTAAAACAAAAACCACTTACCTATACAGCCTATTTAGAACATTTAGAATACAATTTTGCAATAAGCTGAGACATATTGCAAATTGGGATCTCTCTATACCATATCAATTTTTCATGCTCATTCATTTATTCAGTAATTATATAAGCTACTTAGTGTTTAGTCTTTTGTAAGTGCTCATTAACTTTCATTTATTATAATTATCATATGTCTATTTTGAATGTCATATTCATACGTGAATATGAAAAATAAGTATTCTATTTATGCCCAATTATTTTATAAATGCATTAGCTTGTTTAATGTCTTTGTTCATAGAATATTTTTCTCAAGCTTTGTGTTAACTTTTTTAAGACCATAAGTCTTTTGAGAAACTGATCAAAGCTACGGACCTGCCCCCTCCAAAAATGAACATGCACGCATTTATACCAAAACATTCACAGCTTTTTAGCATATAATAGCATTTCATTTATTACAAGCTGATGCAGGCAGGGACATTTTTCAGAAAAAAGAAACTTCAAAACTTTTCATTTCAACTAATTCTGAAGAAAATCTTTCTAAGATATGTCACTCATTTTCTTGCCATCTTAATCAGATTATAGGCACTTTTATCTTGATGAATAGAGGCCATGATTTTAGACATAAATTATGATCCTAAGAGTTAGAACTCATGTTCTTAAAGGTGAAGCATGAGTTGGTTGTTTCTACAGTAGGGGCTCCATACTCTGCTATATTCTTTCTGTATAGCTTTTTATTGTTTCAACATTTCAACTATTATATTTGCTATATATGTATTTCTAACAGAACTATCTCTGCTTCCAACTCATTCTGTCTAAATCAGGAACCAGAAAACAGAAATGCTGAAACTATATTTAAAGTTGAAATAAAATAGACTATCAGCAAGGTTCTGAGACTCTCTTATTACACTCCATGGTCTTTATGATATTTATTTTTGGCTATTCAACTCAGTCTCTCTTCAGGAGCTTATCTATACCCCAGAAAAGTGAGGTGGCAATGCATGTAGGCTTTATGGAAAAAAGAAAATCTCTTTAAGAGACATGACGATCTCTTGTGGTTCTTTAAGTAGTCTTAATCCAACACACCCTGAAGAAAATGACCATAAAGAATAAGCAACCTCTCTTAGTTACCTAGTCTCTATTTATTATTCATAAACTGTGTGTACATGTGTGTTTAAATGTGTGCACGCATGAGCGTGTGTGTGTGTGTGTGTGTGTTTATGCTCAGTATAATGAGCTTAATGTTGAGTAATTAATATTTGTACTTAGGGTGTAAGACAAATGAGTGACAACTCACACATTTCACAGTTTGCTACTGTAAATTATCCTCTGTGTGAGTCCTTGTCCAAAAGCTCTGGAAATATCAGACAAAACAGTATAATGGATGTTTTATATACACTAGCACCAAATTGTATAACATGAAGAATATGAATATAACTGGTAAAACATTATTTCAGGGTGTGTCTATGAGGATATTACTGGAGATCAATATTTGAATCAGTAGACCAAGTATAGAAGATCTCCCTCACTGATGCAGGTGGGCATCTCCTGAGAGCTGAATAGAACACAGAGGCAAAGGGTGGATCTGCTCTCTCTCTGAGCTGGGGCATCCATCTCCTGCCCTCAGACATTGGTGCTCCTGGTTCTAGGACCCTCAGGTTTGGACTGGAACTACATTATCAGCTTTCCTGGCCTCCAGCTTGCAGACAGCAGATGGTGGGTCTTGTCAGCCTCCATAATTGTGTGAGCCAATATCCCCAAAATAAATCTCTTCCTATATATCTACTTATGTCTTATTGGTTCTGTTTCTCTGGAGAACCTAACTAATATATGGATACACTTTGGAAAAGTCCAAAATATTATTGAGAATAATCTTCTTCTAGTCATTGAACTATAATAAGTCAGTCTCTGGGCTAGTATTGGAAGGAAATCAACAATAAAAAAGATCTCTTTTAGGCTGTATAATAATGTTTGGGATATTTATTCACAGAATATAACATTTTTAAAAACCACAATTAGTTATACATAAGTGATCAGAAGTGATCAAATCACACTGTCCTTACACAAGATTGAAGATAGTATAGAACAATGTTGGCTTTATCTGCAGTACTAAATTGCTTTGAGTTACTATATTTAATACACTTCTTAAAGTTTAGCAATGATAAAGGAAGTAGGCTAACCTTGAAAACAGAATCTTAATACAAAAAATACACAAAGTTTTCAAATACATAATTTTGGCAAGTCAAAAGAAAGGTAAAGAGTAATAAATGTTCATAATTTATGGAATTTTCATAGTAAATTATACTAGACTATAGAGGATTTCATATACTGTTATTCAAACCATGTACTTAAGTCTAAATTTAAGCTTACTAGACTCTGAGATTGGCATTCCTTTTTTTATAGTTTTTTCCAAACTGAACAAATGCCAGGTATCAATCTGATACTTTTTTTCTTTTTTAAAGAATTTTTTTTTATTTATTTATTTGAGAGAGTGCATGCAGGGGAGGGGAGAGGGGCAGAGGGAGAGTTAGAGAGAGCCTTAAGCAGACTCTGCACTGAACATGGAGCCAGATGTGGGGCTCAATCTCACAATCCTGAGATCACGACCTGAGCAGAAACCAGGAGTCAGATGCTCAACCGACTGCACCACTCTGGTGCCCCTCAATCTGATACTTTTACTTAGCAATGACTTTTATTTTATTTTATTTTATTTTAAAGATTTTATTTGTTTATTTGAGAGAGAGAGAATGAGAGACAGAGAGCACGAGAGGGAAGAGAGTCAGAGGGAGAAGCAGACTCCCTGCTGAGCAGGGAGCCCGATGCGGGACTCGATCCCGGGACTCCAGGATCATGACCTGAGCCGAAGGCAGTCGCTTAACCAACTGAGCCACCCAGGCGCCCCAGCAATGACTTTTAGAATTAGATGTTAACATTTTCAAAAAAGAATTAAAGAAACAATACCCTTGTGTGTTTCCCCCTTAGTTTTTTTTGGAAATTACTTTGTGAATGGACTCATCTGGCACAGCAGCCTTCGTGGGTCCTCCTCACCACAGAAGTCATAAAGTCCTTCAGAGAGTGGTTCCAGCTTCAATGACCAGCATCCCCAGAATCTCCCTAGGTTCTTCCTTCCCTGTGCCAGATAACTCATAGCCCAATATACTGTCGCTTTTCCTACAGAGTTGATCTTTCCTCTCTTTGCCTAGCCACTTCTGGAATGCACATTTAATTTGGATTTTCTCTGATTTCTGAATTCATTCTTCAACAAAGATACTATTTTTGGTCTCCATTTCTTCTCACCACTCAATGCTTAGAGCAAGGGACAGTTCACTCCATTCCTGAACCAGCACAAGCTGCTAAACACCCACTCAGAGGAAAAGTCTGGGCCCTCAAACTGACTCAGAAGGTGGATTAAAACATAAACCTAACTGAAAGGCCTTATGCTGCATTAAGATGGTATATTGGCATGGAAATGTCCCCATTTAAGGACTGCATTGCATAGGTCTTCCTCAACTAAAGAATATGACCAGCAATTAGTTATTATCCATTACAATTTGAGGTCATCCTGATGGAAGATATCTTAGGATCACATGAGTCCCTATAGGACTAAAATATCTTCTGAAGACACCAAGTGTAAAGTGAACCAGCAAAAGCCTTAATCATACATACAAATATATATATATATACACACACATATATATAATATTATATTATATATTATATGTTTGTGTGTTCTGTACTAGTTGAACTCCCCTAGTTAATCACTCCACCAAGTTAGGTATCTTCCTGATCCAGAAACTAAAGTTTAAACATGCCATGAATAAGAATCTGAGGCAAGCTATGTCTATTTAAACACATTATTATCTATAGTGGTCTTTAGGTGAAGACTTAGGTGAAGACTACTAAAGCATGACAAATGACAGAAAATCTGAATCACAGCAAGATTATGAGAGGAAACTTTTAAAGAAATGAAAAACTGTAAACCTATATCAACTCAATGCATATATTATTTAAAAGACTATTTCTTTGCTCTTGCCATGTCTTTTACTACAAAGAGTAATCTGCCATTTGGTTAACATTAGTGTTGTTGGCTCAGTGACACTGTAAAAGTATGCATAGGTTTTGCTTCTCTGTGTAATTCTTCCCTATTAGAGACAATTATTAATTATTATTGATGCACTCTGGCAATACACAATCCACTATAGAAGGACGGGAGAGATCCACTGTGCCTGGCAGTCACTCAGGAAAACTGCTGTTGGCAGCAAGAAAGCACCATGACCCTTACAGGTATCCTGAAACCTATACAACCCGTGCTGATTCAGCTCATCCCTGGGACACCTAACAACAACATAAAGTAACTTGGCATCCTCATGAACAATGTATGGAAGATTATGAAGTCTCATTTTTTTAAAAAACACACAAGAATATATATTATATATTTTCAACATTAGGTCAGATACCAATGAACATTTGGCAAATGGAAAAAGCAGTACATATTCTCCTCTACATGTGCATGTGCAAACATAGACGATATTTGATAAACACTCCAGGAATCCATACGTGTGTGTGTGTGTGTGTGTGTGTGTGTGTGTGTGTGTGTGTGTATAATGTATATGTGATCGGCCTTTCTAAAAATCAGACACTAAGTATCCATAATACATTACTTACATATACCTGAAGATATGAGCAATGGATATTATACTTAAAATATATGGTGCAGATACTTGCAATTTTTTTTTAAATTTCAGTAAGATTTGGGGAAAAAATCCTATTTCTTACCTACATTTCCAGTCATTAAGTATGAATTCTGAAAGTCCATCATCCCCATTCCAACAATGTGTATAAAATCTTCAATCACCTGCATTAACTCTATTGAGCCAGGATAAATCTACAAAAAGATGCAAAGATTAGAAGGAATAAAAAGTCTATATCATGGAATACATCAACAAAAACTACATAATGAGGTCACAGATGAGCTCTGATTTATTTGAAGAAATTTCTGCAATTGGCAGCCGTTGTATTTTTGAAACACTAGTTGAGAATGATACCAGGTGTCACAGGGCAAGAACTTTGAAGGTGATATGATGCAGTGATTAATCTTCCATAAATCTAAGGAAACTAAAAATATCTAACAGATTGTATACTTAGAAATTACCCATCTTTACTTTTGATGGGATCCTTTCCCCACTTATATATAACATAGAACAAACACTGACATTTGGGGACTTTTCACATTTTTTACTTAGCATCTATATGATGGCCACTGAAAGAAAAAAAAATTCTTATTGCCATCATGAAGATATTTACAAACTATTAAGTTCACTGCAAAGTAACTTTTGTACCTTGGGAGAAACATTTACTTCTACAACTGTAATAGCTACTGAATGAATAATAATGCTCATAATAATTTCAGGATCATAACAACAGTTTTAGTGTGGGTGCTTCACAGGTACACATACATAGCAAACCCAACACCACGCCACCTCACACGCTGCACACTGAGGAGTCCTCGCTTAAAGACAACCTGATTCAGGCATAGTGTGTGGGAAGTGAAGGTCATTTAGAAGGTCATATGAATGTACTCTGTGTCACCCATAATGCTTATACAGCCAGCCTGCATTAGATAACCACAGTAGAGCAGAACATCTTGAAGTTGGGTTCATTTTTTTTAGCCATTCAGCACAAGGGGTGACCCTTGAAGCCATGAAAAAATTAAGTGGATTATAATTGTAGTGGTTTTGTCTTTACAAAGGCTGGTGCAGGAGGGGAAGAGACAGTCTGATTAGCAGAAGTATACAGACAGAGCTGGAAGGGGATGGAGTAAGAGGGAGACATATTGGGCAGGACGAATAGCATGTGTGGTGTGTAAAGTTTACAGGAGATTTTGGCTGTGCCCCGCTAAAATTCAGACACTGAGGATGCATCATATAGATACATATATTTGAAGGCATGAACAATTGACTATTACACTTAGAAATGTGCAGCATGGGTATTTGTACATTTTTTTAATTTGGGGAAAATCCGGGAAGAAATGTTATTTCTTACCTAGTTTCCAATCATTAAATATGAATTCTGAGAGTTCATCGTCATTATCATTCCAAAAATCTGCATGAAATTTCCATCAGTTCCAAGCTTTCTGCTACTACGGTATTTTTTCTACAATTTTTGTGTAGGTGTATATGAGTACGTGTTGTGTAAGGGTAAATACAAATTAAAAATAAGAGGCTTAATTCTCCCTGCTGAAAATGAGAGACTCCCTCTCCCAGCCCTGCAGCCTTCATCCTTTGTTCTTAAAGCACTTACGTTTGAAAAATAATAATTGTTAAGTTCTTTCTCTGTCTCTTTGAAATGTATGTAAATCTTTTTGAAAAGCTAAAGGGAAGACACAGGGATGCCTTTCAGAGAGAGAGAGATAGAGGTGATAACAAGGAAGACAGGACCTCTATCTCTCAGTTTCTATGGGTGGGGAGGAGTGTTAACTTTCAGCAGGCACTTGCTCTAAGTTGCAAAACTCCCTTCATGGAGATAGAAAAAGCTTAATTTTTTTTCTTTTGGATAAAGCCAGTTAACTAACAAGTGGTCACCCCATTACCAGGTGAATTTAAGATGACTATGTGCGGCAAATGGAGTTCACCCTTTGTGCCACAAACATGGAGACTCATTTACCATGTAGCTGCTTTTATAACAATACCTTTTAGTAAAAGCTACAAAATAGTTGTTGTTTTTTAACTTCAAGTAGTCATCTTTATTTATTTCTAGTCCAGTAGTTATCTTTAAAGAGGCATTAAGGATTGTCACTACTAAAAAATATTTAAAAGATAAGAATATAGCTAACTCAAAATCACAAGTAGATAGATGGATTAGGGATTCAGGATTTTCCATTGACGAGAAGTTGTACACCACTCACTGTTCGTTCAAGTTGGGACCTCACAATAAATAATGTCATCTGATGAACTGCAGTCTTCTTTTAAAACAGGGTATTATACATTTGCTCTAAATATATCCATAATTAATAGTCTCCTGCATTCTGGAAAGATGTGCTTAGCCTCTGCAGCTGTATTCTAGGGAAAGAAACCATTTCCTTCCAGTGAGTGAATGAGGCTCTCCTCTAGAAGAAAGCCAAGGACAAATATATAATTCAAGCTAGCAGAAAATGATAGATTCAGGGTCTTACACTGAGGACTGATCTTTTTTTCTTGCTATGGCCAGAAGCACAGAATTTGTACCTGATAATGAGTTAGACCCACACTGGACTATTTTTAGAGCCCCTATCATAACAGGAATAAAAGGGCATGCTTTGCTCCTGAAGACCGAGAACATGATTATAAGAAGAGAAAGGGATAGATGGTTCACTTGAACCTCAGAAAATATTATTTTCAAGATTGCATTGTTTTCTCGGAATTAGCAAGGGTCAAGCAGAAAGCTTAAAGAATTTTAATACACAGTTAAATTAAATGTCCACAGGATTTTTAAAAACATGCTTATTCTCCCTTTCCTAACCTCTCATCCACTTTTTCTGTAATTTGGGGGAAAAAATGTGTTATTACCCATACATATGTCAGGACAGCACAAATGGCAGTGAAAGGTATTTTACAACAATAATTAAACCAGTAAGGCCACTTGCTACACTGATCATGCATAGCAGAAAGAGAAAAAAAAAAGCAGAATTCAAATTTTCTTATGAGAACTCATTTTTACAACTCTTGGCTTTGAATCCAAATGCACATCTGCATATCTGATCCAGATTATACATAGTGTTGTAGTAAATGCAAATGATTTTACTTGTTATTACCCCACAGTTCGGTTTGTAATATATGTTTTTGGATTTGCTGTTTCTCCCATAGTCTGTAGGCAGGAAAGAAACTGGTTGGTAAGGCATATAGTTACTATGTATTGATACCTCAAAGTTAGGAATTACTTAAACCAGTTCAGTTTTTCCCACATTTATAATATCATTCAGTCCATTGATTGTTAGGATAAAAAAGATCACTTATTTTCTCTAAAATTAGTATAATGTAATCTAGGATGACTTTTAGAAGTCTCCTTTTATGTTCTTGGGATAGCAAGCCATGAATTTCTTCACATATTTTTTAAGCTTTCCTTAGCCGATTTCATTTTAAGTTTTGAAATGGCTCCAGCCTTACCTGTTGGGCATCCTCCCATTTTTCCTTGTTTTCTTCATCTAGAAGGTTGCTAACTATTTGAAAGAAGTTCTGCAAATTAAATCGGATAAAAGATTTACTGTTACATGAGGGAATATACTTTTCAAAAACATCCATTTGAACTGATTGTGTGGTAAGAGTATAAACACTTTGCCATATTGCTTTATGATCCTAACATATTGTTCTAGAAGATCTTTGAGGATCCTTTCTCAGCACCATACTCCTGGGATTTCTCTATAACTTCACATATACACCTCAGAAGACATCAGAATAGGGAAAATACTTATGTTTACTTACGATTTTATCTTCCATTGAAGTCTCTGTATTGTATTCTGTCATGCTATCACCAAATTATTCCTCACAAATAAGTTGTCTTCCTTCAGTAGTGAAAATCCTTTGTGTATGTCTAAGTACAAGTTATCCAGTGATTGTGAACCATGATAGCTAGTTATATTGCTGTTCTGAAGAACATTGTAGTGAAGAAACAGCCTGTGGGTAAGGCTGAGGCCTGTGACAGGCCTCCTCAGCTGGATCCTGGGTCTGCGCTTCCTGGCTGTTTTTAATTTTTACAACTACCTCTTGCAAAGATGACATGGAATTTTCTGAGTACCTGGCATAGAGCACATGGTTAAGTGCTCAATAAATCCTAGCTATTTCAAATAATTATTCTTTATTCTGCCTTTTGCCAGCAAGCCAAAATGGAAGAATGAATAAACACAGTAGCATGTTCCTATTCAAGGCCCCAATCCTCGTCATCACCCATGTGACCTAACTGCTGAAGACCTATTGGCTTGACTTTAGCCTAGTAGCACCCCCAGTGAGTCTTCGGTTTTCCCCTCCCGCGCAGACAGGCAGGTTTGGGCACGCATACATAGGCAGAGACTCAGGTCAGTTCATCTGCATTAGTACCCATGTCACACATGAGGGATCTTGACCAGAGAGACCTTCTTGTCCTCCCACACTACACTGTGTCTTCAAAACACAGGAGCCAGGAGAAGAAGACCAGAGCGCCTGTTGAAAACGAACAGTGACTTGGGGTGACAGGCGACCTAAGAAGTGCAAAGTGAAGCCGTGACATTTATCTTAAGCTACATGGACAGTGGTCCCTCCGTTGGGTCCTCAGAGCCCATCTCTTCTGCTTGGTTTGTATGTAATTTAGCAGGAGCACTGCCTCAGACGGATATATCAGCTCAGGACAAGACCCCCTCGAGGGGGAAATAATCGCAATTTTTAGCCTCATCAGCCTTCCTCCCTAGCCAGCTTTTCAAAGAAGGTCTTTATTCAAATTCCAAATAAAGTCACCTGCATGTTTTTAGAAGAAAAACAAAGCTGCTTCACTTCCTCTTCTCTTGTGCTTTGAAGCTGTATCTATATTTAATTGCCCTATTTGTGCTATTTATTTTAATAGTTCCTGGTAATCACATGGTTGGAACATGTTTCAAGTCATAACCTCTGTAAAAGTTACAGAATATTTTTTGCGACTCTTGAAAATACTGCAAGTCTGTTTTAGACCTGTTTTCAATTCATTTAAACTTTTTGTACTGCCAGCCATTTTTTTCCACTTAAAATTTTCTGGTTGGAGTGATAACATTTTAAGGGCTTAGTCCATTGAGCTGTAACTCTACCTATGGGCAGAAAGAATTAACCTTCAGAGTTCTCCAATTGCCTATGGCTGTTTAACTCAGTAGGGGACATGCTGCTAATGAGGCAAAAGTTGCAGATTTCATCCCTGTCCATGCCAGTTAGCTGTGCTGAGGTCCATGACCACAGTCTGCATCCTAACCCCTGCCAGCTTTCATACAAATACATGCCACCACTAACAAGAGACACCAAGAGAATGGGAAGCAATTTGTGCAAATGCATCTCCATTTCTGAGAAAACACTTCACAAAGCATATTTTACTGATAGTGGGTCAGTGACCCTGCGCTTTACATGAAGGCGGGGGAGCACACACAATTCCTTGATCAAAGTGATACATTCAGAGTTCAGTTTTTTTTTCTTAAAGTGCCAAAGGACATATACAAAAAACACAAATTACTAAAATATACATTCAACTAGGCAAACAGAGAGTGTAAGAAATGTTTTTATATCACCTTCCAAGGCAATGAGACGGACTTTATTAATCAGGGTGGAAAACTGGTACAGAATAAAGTTCTCCTATCTCCCTATCGATTGGATTGGGAATGATCTGCTGTGAGATCACACAGGGCTCGGTGAGCTAAGCCTGAAAATCCAGAGAGGGGGAGGCGGGGCACTTAGGGGAGACTGTCTTTCTTATTCCTCAGTGTATCCTCAGTACACACAAATGCCTTGTCCTTGCCATGTATTTAATAGAGTCCTCACTTAAAGGAAATAATGAAGTCACACAGCCACTACACGTCAGGCTCTCGAACAAAACTCAAGCATCATTCCTTTGAGCGGACCCTGCTCTCATCTCTCTATCAATTCACTTTGACATTTGCTCAAAGATCAGACCGAGCAAAGAGTAGAATCAAACAGAACAGCATTTTTTTGAGAAGGGGACATATAACATTTTAGGCCACTTGATTGAATTTTTGAGGAAAGTATGAAGCAACTTCCCTGGCAGATGCACTGCTCACTGGCGTTCTTCAGGAACTCTGCTTAGTCTGGCAAGATCTCTCTTTTGGTGACTTATGTGTCAGGTCACTTATGTCAGCCCCTGAGTTGCGACTGACAGTAGTAGGTTTTTGTTTTGTTTTGTTTTTATCAGCCCTGATCTCTATGGCCTAGACTGTTCTGAAAAATTAAGTGTCCTTGGCCCAATCTGAGTTTGGAGCTTGAACGGGGCAGACCTGGTTTAAAATCGTCCCCAACCTTCATTAGCTGTGTGGTTCCAGGCTAATGTTGCCCACCTCTGCCTTCCTTCTCTAATCAATAAGATAGAAATGATAGATATTAGCTGCCTGCCAGAGCCATTGTGAAGCTTGGAGCTAATTCTTAGCACAGAATCTGACGCGTGGTAAGTGCTCAATATATGGCGGCTTTATGATTTTATTTCCTCTGTGTTATCTTTTTTATGACCAGTGGTGTGATGTGTATTTGTGGCCACATGACAGTGAATCTGCACTCATAAGGCTGCCATAGACTTTCACAACCTGGGGTGCTCTCTCCTTCTCTCCTTTATAGCCTCTTCCTCTCCAAGCAGTATGTGGAGCACAGAGCTTATTCACCACTAACTTCGGGGCCTATCATCTGTCCATGAGAAAACTCTCGTTCCTAAGAAATGTACTCTGCTGGAAGGGTTTTCAGTGTTATTATTATTGGACACCTATTATGTGAGAGGCATTGTGCAAACGTTTGTTGGACACAAAGGTTGGGGGGCCTGACTCTTCACTTATTCTTTGCAGGAAGTATTATGAAAATCAGTGCAATAAATGTCTGTTTTAAAGAGAAGCCATAAATGTTTCTGCCACATTCATAGTGCAAGTCCTAGATCTGGCCACATGAGACTAAAAGGCCACTCTATTTTATGGAAAGTGGTAACTCATTGTTTGTTTTACATCTGATTGGCTTCTGCTTGACAAATTTCTCATGTACTCTATAAAATTTTCTATAAATATACTGAAACATATCTGAGCATTTAGATTTTGCTGAAGTCCTTGTGGGAACAGAGCTGTAGATGAAGCTAGTGATTTGAGATATCTGAGCTCTGGGAAATGTGTTCTCCTCCTCTTAACCCATCAGGGGGGCACTGAGAGACAAAGAAAAGCCCTAAGGAATAGATTTGATAATGTAGAACTGAAAGTTTTAAGGATTCATGATGGTCTTTAAGGAATCATGATGGTCCTGACTAGAAACACAGGAGGACCATAAAAAGGCATAATAAAGGCTGAACAAGGAGTCAGGGACAAGTCATTAGGGTAAGGATGCACAGAACAGGATAGGCCATTGACTCCCCAATCTAGAGAGCAGTTGATAGCTGCAAGGCCATGCATGATCTAGTCCCTTCTTATTGTTCCAAATCTGCCTTAAGCTCTCCTGCCCCACAGTCTCTATATTGCAGGTTCTTTAGACTTCTTCATGCATGCCAAACTCTTTCCTGCTTAGCCTCTGGACCTATATAATGCTGTTCCCTTTCTCTGACTGCTCTACTTCCTGTTCTTTACTTGAATAACTCTTTCTTGTCCTTCATGTCTACATTTATATGCAATTTCCTCAAGAGGGCCTTATCAGATCATCACCACCACCCTAAGTTTTCAGGGTCAGCATATTTTTTTTTTCCTGATTGTACTCAGTGAACATTTTTATTTTTCATTTACCAATATCTTCATCATTCAAAATTAACAAAAAATTCCATTGGACAAAGGGAATGGTCAGTTCATAGACATAAACAACCATAAAAATATGATGTAAAGGAAGTGGGTATATAAGGGGCCCTTGTTCTCTGTCCTGATAGTCAGTTTTCCCCAATACAGGGTGAATAAGTATGCATCCCTGGCTCCACCCCATCTCTACATCCCTGCATGAGCAACTCAACAAAACTACCATGCATTGACCCAAGGATGAACAACAGCACTTCATCTTAACATAAAAGAGAGGATAGTAATGCAGGCAACCATCCAACTGTATAGCACCCACTTAAAAGGTGACAAACATGTTGACTTGTAGTTGCATTGCATAGTCTTTTCAAGTGTATCACCATTTTTAATTATAATGTACTTGTATGATGATCATTTCAGGGCTTTTCCCTTTACCATTTTATAATCTAGTTGGGATTATTTCACTCTTATGCCCTAGTGTACAGCATAAGGCAAGGAAAATGTAAATACTCAAACATTTCAAAATGATTAACTGCATGCCTTCTGTATATAAGACAATGGGCTAGGCATTGAAAGAATTAAAAAAAAAAATCAACAAATGGCCCCCACCTAATTTTCTACCTCCTTCCAAATCAACACCTTCCTCTGCCATATATCAGTGCCAGCGAGTTCCTCACTATGTCCAGGGAAGGAGATATGACACTTACTTTTACAGATAAGAAGACTGGTTATCTTGAATGAATATGGAATCAAACCTTTCTTACTTAAAAT